TGTAGTTGTGTTCTCCCCTGGGGTCAACCCATATTGGCTTCAGGTTCTACTCTTGAATATGTCCACTTAATTCTGAAATTGTCACTCTGACAATTACAGCCAATACATTCCTAGAATATGTTATCTTGAGGAAGAAAATTATAAATAAGCAACTTTCTCAAAAGCATAAGTACGCATTGTCATTTTAAAAAGTTTTATTTTATCTTCAATTGATAATCATTGGATGTATTTGTGGAGTACAATGTGATGTTATGATAGATGTATATATTGTTTAATGATTAAATAAATTAACATATTCAATAACCCACATACATTTTTGCAGTGAGAACATATAAAATTCACTCTCTTAGCATTTTGAAATATATAATACATTATTAAGTTATGATCACCATGCTGTGCAAAAGATTACTGATATTTATTTCTCCTGTCTCACTGAAATTTTGTACATTTTTACCAACATCTCTCCTTTCCCCATCCAATCCCTCACTCCCAGCCTCTAGTACCACCATTCTTCTCTCTACCTCTATGGGTTTAATTTTTTTGGATTCCACATACATTTGAAATCATGCAGTATTTGTCTTTCTATGTCTGGCATATTTCATTTAGCATAACATCCTCCAGGTTTATCCATGTTGTCAAAAATGGTACATATCCAAGGGAATTGAAATAGGTATGCCAAGGAAATATCTGCACTCCCATGTTCATGGCAGCATTATTTATAATACAATAGCCAAGATACAGAAGCAATCTAAGTGTCCATCAACAGATGAATGCATAAAGAAATGTGATATACATACACACACACACACACACACACATAATAAATACTATTCGGACCTATTTAAAAAAGGAAATTCTGTCATTTGCACTGCCATTTTGTTTTGATCATAATTCTTAAAAATTTTAATCTAAGCATTCCTCAGAATTAAAAAGCAGTGATACAGCCTAGTAAACAAATAAGCACCAGCGTAAATCCAAAAGGATGTGTCCTTTTGTTCATGTGAACTAAACTCCCCTTGAAATCTGGAGAACTTAGATTCTAATGATGGTTCCTTAAAATAATCAGGAGCTGAGGTCTTTTCAGGTGTCTGCTCTCCAGGAAGAAGCAATGTAGGTCACATACTTTCAGAGTGGCACAATCGACTTACACTGGAAGAGTAGACATATGGCATCTAATCTCAAATTCACTTACTAGAATGAATCCAAGGAAAGCTCAGTGGAAGTTTAAACGCCTGCAGAGGATGCAGAGGACATTTAGTCTCTGTGGAAGATGGAGACTCACCAGGGTGAGCACTTACAACTGGCCAGGCCATGGAGGCAGGGAAGGGTTGCAGGAACATGAAGGAAAGCTGTCTCTGTTTTAAATACGCCCAATTGAGCTTCTCTATGACAACCTTATGGTTCACTAGCAGGGTGCCTTGTTTCTATGGATATGATAAAACCTTCCATTCTGTGTGTGCCCAGCCCACCAAAACAACCATGTTGGGGAAAAGCCAGAGTCTTTCCAGAACTCACTGTCCTCATGACCTCAGTCAGTCAGACCCTTGACCAGAAGAGTCTGGCCAGAGGCCATTTAAGAGCCCAAAAGGGGAAGAATGCATTCTTGCCCCCGCTAGAGTAATACACAACAGATTCTGTTATGAATGTAACTTATATACTACCCAGCAACCTGAAACCTTTTGGTCTATGGTCTTCGATGCCATTGGAGCTATGAAATACTTGTTCTTTTGTTTTGTTTGTTTTTTGTTTTTAATTAGATAACTGACGTATTCACTGGAATCCTGGAGGCTTCTTATAACTGGCTATTTACCTCTATTTCTGATAACTCTGAAAAAGTCTGCCTGCTTTTCCAGGATTTAGTCCCTTCCACCCTCAAAAGCTACTCTAACTTCTCAGATGCAACACCAAACATATAGATACCCAATGCCTTCTCAAACTGAAGAGCAACTAGAGAGGAGCCTTGAGACATGTTAGGGTGAGCATGGTTTTTGTCTTACTCTGAGTTGTCTCACTCTGAGTTGGGCAAAGAATGCCTAGCATAGTACCCCAGGGCCAGGGGAAGAGAGTAGATATGGAGCAGAGCCAAAGTTATAGTCTGTATTCAAGTGCTTAGACCTTGTAACCTCTGAAAGAACTCAGAGAGTGAGAGACAGCTGGGCTGGAAGACTCATCCTAGCATTTAAAGCAGAAGGGATGGAATATTCCACTCAACACAATATCTTCAACCAGGGTCTACGGCCCCCATATCAGCATCACCTGCTGTTCTAGTCTAAAACCAAATGCCCCATCCTAATCCCAGACCTTGCAATCAGAATCCATGAGTGGGGCCCCAGTTTCAGCATTTCCATCAAGCTCTTTCATGCAGACACAGGCTGTCACCTGACTGTCCCCACCGTCAGAGCTGCCCACAGAGCTGGTTATGCTCAGTCAGCACCAGGCCAAGTCAATCCAGTTAGAAATATTGTATAAACAACTAGGATACCTGTTTTCTAGGAATACCAGGATGGAATAAAACAAGATGAAGCCTAGTTTATAAAAAGTAACGATTACACAAATGTATGGAAATCATGATCTTAGCTGGGTCACAAGATAGGCACTACTGAAAAATATCGCTAGGAGCCCTCAGAGGAAATCATTCCCTTTAACCTCAAAAGTTCCCTCTTCCCATATTCCATAGATGAGACTTCACTTACCTGGCATTGGTTTGCCCACACTAATAAAAGAGAAGGGGACCAACGGGGCAAAATAAGATCAGTTTGTATAAGTTAGTCCTATGTGATGAAAGGTGACTATGCATTGCTGATAGCTTGTGGGGGCGGGCAGAGGTTACAGTTTTCCTTCTCTCTACGGATCAGTAAGTACTAATACTGGCTATGGAAATAATGGCTCAGACTCCCAGAAATCAAAAATGTTCCTTTTACATTAATGTCTCCACCATAAACTTTCAAGAAGGAGTCTAAAGTGGTGGGTAGAGAATTGTTGGTCAGTCTCCAATTATGATGCAGATCTCAAGCCACTGAGATCTAGGGCTATGGTGTATTAGGATTCTTCTTTCTTAAGTAAAGGATTGGGAAAAATACTGTTGTTTTCATTTCTAGTATGCTGTGGATATGTATTCCTCCTATTTGAGCAAAATTAGTGAACATGTATATCAACTACCAAACCCTCTATTACATGAAGCTACACGATGCCCAGTTCCTAAGTGCTTGGCTGTACCTCCAGTTCTCCAATTGAGATATGCAGCAGCGGGTCTAGGGGCCTGGCTGTGCCATCTGGAATCCATTGGCCCCCTTTTCTGAGCTTATGTCCAAATTAGGTCTTTCTTTTATCACTTTAAACACATCCATAGGAAAGAAGGTTTTCAGAGTACCTCTTCCCCAAGTGCAATGTTTTAACAAATTTCTACAGTCAAGAGTGAAGTATTTATGCCTCAATGTTAATTCCTTCTACATTAATTAACATACCAAATAAATTCACCAATATCCAATATACTGATTGTTTTACCCTCAGGAAGGAAGACTATATACCTAAGACAAAATTTAAAACTAAAAAGAGAAGCAGGGTAAAGTATATCTGGAGAATATTAAAAGGAGTTTAAATATGAACAGCTAGCCAAAGCACCCACTTTTGTGAAGATAGAGGCTTGCAGGTTAGAATATACTTTAAGCTGTACAGGTGGAAAATGATTGATTTGAATTCTACTTCCTCTAGTGCATTCTAGAGAGGCCTGTCAAAGCCCCCTTTATTCTTATATTGAGCTAGACTTTGAGAACTAGAATAGTGAAGCAGACAAAAGCAGAATAATTCCTTGTACAATCAAGAGTACACATATTATTATACTTTCATAAAACCCTTCATGTAATCTCTGTCAATTAGTCTTTAGTAGGAGTTTTTGATGTGTCACTTATAAATAAGAAAAATAAAGCTTAATCAGGTTAAGCAATTGGCTTCATTTGCACAAAAATAGAAATCAAGTTTTATAATTCTAAATCCCAAAAACTTCTTGATTGGACCTCCTGCTCAGTCACTGATTAGCCAGGTAGTTCCAGCAAATTACTCCTATGCACCTTATCTTCCTTACCTTTAAAAATAGGAGCTGGATTATACAATCTTTAATTAGGGTTAGTCATAGGAGGTATGGTGCCCAGGAATCTGTTTACAACCGGACCCAATTTCCTTCTACTTTGCCATTAACTATGCTCCTAAACATTAACAGGGGGAAAAAAAATACCACAAATAGCACAACACAAACTCCTTTCCATTTCAAGGTATTTTTATGGCCAGTATCCAAACTTGACAACATCATTCCCACTAATGAAGAGGGCCCATCAGCATGTCATTCCACCTGGATTCATCATTTGTCTTGCTTTGACCAAAGTTTTGAAGGTGTCATAACCAGAAACATGTCATCACTTCTGAAAGAAAACATCCAGAAGATATGCATTGCACAGAGCTAAACAATACAAAAACAAAAACCCTGTCGATCCAAACAATACCAAGATGCCCAGCTGTTTAAACTGAACACACCATTTCCAATCACATCAAATCGAAGCCTCTACTTTTATACTGACAATTCTTATATGAAAACCACCAATCTTGAAATCATGAAGTTGCTTACAATTACAGACAGGATTCCTAGAAGTGTAGACCAACCTGCATAACCTTTCATTCTTTTTATACTGTCAATGTGCCATGTAATATAAATCACTGCCAAATAGGGTTTCTAGATATTTTATGCTAACAGAGCACCTTGGTTTCAGAAGCTTACCTGATGGGATGAGACAACAGATGACACAAACCCTGCAAACATCCACAGATCATTGCTGCTCTTGAAGTAGCTCTCTTAATGCACGTCCAGAATCTTAATCTCCATCCTCCTGCTGGGGACCCTAAGGGTATGTATGGGATGGGGCAGGTGGGAGTGGGTGGGAGAGGCTGGCAGCAGATGATAGCTGTCACCATTCTAGAACTGGACACAACAGTAAGAAAAAGGCACTTACTTGCTACCGAGTGACACGTCTCCAGCAGCACCTGAGGGAACCCTCAGGAGCAAGGCTCCTTGGAGCCCTTTCCTCCTCCTGGGCTGCTCTTTCTTCCCGGATTGGGTTTTCTGAGCTCTGGTTGCATAGGAGGTGTTGTTAGGCTGGCGTCTGTCCTCACTAGCTGTGGCTCCGCAGTAAAGGGGCTCCCCCGGAATTGCCTGCTAGAAACTGACTCACTGGGGCGGCTCCCCAGCCACTGACCCAGAGACCCTTCCTGCCCGGATGGCCAGTGGAGCGGCGCCCGCTGCCTGGAAGCTGTTTTTGTCTCCTTCCCACTCCTCCCTCCCCTCTCCCAGCCACACCACTCTCTCCCCCGCCCTCATCTCCAGGCCAGTGCGCGACTTCAGCATCCAGATCGGGCGTGGGCGGCTGATATTGGCAGAGACCCGCTGCAGAGGCAGTAACAGCGGCAGCTGTGGCTGCTCAGCCACCAGCTGCCAGGGAAGGGAGTGAGCAGGAGGAGAGGGTATCGGTGAGGACGGGACTTGGGGAGAGGACCTAGGGGCGTGAAGGAATGGAAGGGCTAGGGAACAGCCAGGCAGGAGAGGAAGGGCAGGGTGCAGCTAAGTTGCGGGGGAGGGAGGAGTGAATAGAAGGGCGAGCAAGAGACAGGTAGAGAGGAGGTCAGCAAACTCAATTTATTTTATCTCCAGTTGTTTTCTCTCTCCCCTTACCTAGCTGCCCCAGTAGAGCTTGCAGGGGCAATCGTCTGCCTCCAGCATCCAAATCTAGAAGTTGCTGTAGATGAGTTTGTGATGTAGCTGTTGTGTGTAGGTGTGTAGCTGTTTAGGACAGAATGGGCTGGAGCTGCTACAGCCTTCTTGCTCTAGATCTCTTTCCCACTCTGGTGAGTTGAAACACGAGGGATAGAGGAAAAATATTTTAGAAAACTGGGGCATTACAGTGTAGTTTGGGGGCGAAGGAAAGAGGCCTTCTTTCCCAAAGGAAGTTTGGAAAATTTTGCCACGCCTTAAACATTCATTTGGTAACCCCGTCTTGTCCAGACATCACATCATTTTATCCAAAAATACATCAACAGATGCCTTTGAATGGTAAGAACTTCTTAAAAGTTTAACCCAATACAATTATCACGCTTAAAAATGAATAACAATTATATTGTAGGGTCAAGCATGATTTCTTTGTAATAGACAATTTATGGGATAAAAGCTTCTCTTCTCCACACTGTGTGGTGACAATGCAAGTAACATTTCTAGTGCATAGAACTTGCCTTGGCACAATCCGATTCATGCATTCTTTTAAACAGTAAAATTCTACATACCTTTCACTACATTCAAATGTAATATCAACTTAACAAAGCTCATAATACTAAATATTTAAAAACCTAAATATTTGAAATGAATAAAAAGAAGTACTGCTTTGGATAATGTATAATGGGCAGGTGATGGATCCCAAGATATTAAACAAACTCACAATATAAAAATAAGCTAATATTTTGGATGGGATTAGATTTATATTCTGAGTTGGACAATCACTTTTTTGTTGTTGCTCTGGAATAAATATTTTACCACCACTGTTTGATAACATTGCTCAATTGGATAAAAAAATAAATTGGCAATTATTATGCTCCTAATAATGAGTTAAGGAACCTCCCAGCCCCATTGAGCTTCTCAGTAGGGGGAAAGGTGCAATGGGAGAGTCTATTTTCCACACTTTTTTTAAGAACCTTATAATCATATGTTCTAAGCTGTGTTTCCTGGGTATGTATTCAGAAAGTGGAATCTCTGGACCTACATGCTCTGCCTAGTCCAGAGGAAAAACTTGCTCTATCACACTACACTTGAACCAGAAGCAGATAAGACCCTGGGGACATCACTTTCCTTTCAGCCTGTTTAAATGGGGTCTGTTTATTCTAACCTGAAAGATATCGGTGTTGGGATCACAGATGGGTGGGTTGTTTCCATTCATGGTCCACATTGTCACATCCAGGGTTAAGAAAACTTTGTGTTAAAAAGACAAGCAAGCAATTCTCTCAAAACAAACAAATCAAAACCCTTGCTTTGGAAATATATCCTCCTTTTCTTCTTCTGGTAGTTATCATTCTCTGACTTTATGGACACTCTTACTTATTAAGAATTTATTTTGTGGTTGACAGGCTTTCCTTTCATTTGAACTCTTGTTTTCATTCTTATCAACTTTCACATCCATTTGGATGCCAATAGGCATTTGGATGAAACATCCAACAGCCTACCTTCTGATTTCCTCCCTTGTAAATGAGCTCTTTCTCCACACCACCTCAGCTATTAATTCCCACACTCACACTTTGAATCTTTCCATAGTTAGCAACTGCTTTGTTTTTCTCCACAGCACTTATCTGTTATGCTAAGTATCTATTGCTTATTTGTTCATTTTCTGTCTTGTTCCACTAGAATGCATGTTGAATGACAGCCAGGATTTGTTCATTCCCTATTACACAGAAGTGCTTAGATCAGAGGTTGTAATATAGTAGGTACTCAGTAAATTCGCTAAGGGAATGAGCACCTAATCCACTAGGTGCTTCCTGGAAAGATGTGGTGATTCACCAAAGGATAGACCATAGAGCCCATGCAATATAAAGAACATGAGAATTGTTTGTTGCTCTGTTTCCATTCTTCCTAATCTCTGGTATTTATATACTTTAGTGCTTCTATAATACATAGATATGATCATTTCCCCTGGCTACAGAATCTTGATACAAAAAAGCACAGGCCTGCCTCCAAAGAAATGGTAAAACCAAGAAAGTCCAATTTTGTCTATGGGGAATGCCAAGGGACTTAGAGAAATGAAGCCATCAAAGTCAAAAAGAAGTTATGCTTTTGATAGTAGCCATTCTAACAGGTATGAGGTGATATCTCATTTTGATATTGTCAAAAAGAAGAATGATAACAAGTATTAGTGAGGAGGGTGCAGAGAAAAGAGAACTCTTATACACTGTCCATGGGGATGTATATTAGTACAGCTATTTTGGAAAATAGTATGGAAGTTTCTCAAAAAGCTAAATGTAGGATTATCATATGATTTAGCAATCCCACTTCTGGATATATATCCGAAGGAATTGAAATAAGTATGTTGAAGGGATATCTGAAATCTCATGTTCATTTCAGCATTATTCACAGTAGCCAAGATGTGGAAGCAATCTCAGTGTTCATTAATAAATGAATGGATAAAGAAAATGTGGTATTTATATACGGTGGAAAACTTTGCATCCTTTAATAAAAAGGAAATTCTGTCATTCTTGACAAAATGGATGAGCCTGGAAGACATTATGCTAAATGAAACAAGTCAGGCACAGGGAGATAAATGCCATATGATCTCACTTATGGGTGGAATTTAAACATTTCAATCTCATTGAAACAGAAAATAGAAAGGTGGTTATCAGAGGCTTGAAGGTAGGAGTGGGGGAAAGGGAAAATGTTTATCAAAAGATGCAGAGTCAGACTGTGTTAAATACTTGAGGTGAGGGATACTCCAATTACCCTGATTTGATTAATTCACACTGTATGCCTGTATCAAAACATCACATGTACCCTATAAAAATATACAACTATTATGTATCCATAATAATTTTTAAAAGTCTCATACTGAAGGAATAAGTTTTAGCATTTCATGGTGACCATAGTTAATAATAACATATAATATATTTAAAAATTGCTAAAAGAATAGATTTTTAATGTTCTCTCCACAAAAAATGATAAGTTGGTGAGGTGATGGATATGGTAATTATCTTAATTAAATCTTTCTACAATGCATATAAAGGAAAGCATCACATTGTACCCCATAAATATGCACAATTATTATTTGTCAATTAAAAATAAATAAAATGCAAAAAGGTTGTGTTTCCTAATATATATTCAGAAAGTGGAAGTTCTAGAGCCATATTCTCTGCTTTGTCAAGAGGGAAGCCTGCTGTATCACACTGCACTTGAACCAGATAGGCCCCTGGGGGCATTACTTTCCTTTCAGCCTGTTTAAATGGGGGCTGTTTGTTCTAACCTCAAAGATTTCCATGTCAGGAATGTGGATGGACACTTCCCTCAACCTTATTATAGAATAATAAGAAATAGATACAAGTTTTGGATTGCGTTCAAAATCTAAGCCTAGGTTTTTTTAAAGATGAATATAATATAAATCATTGTAGAATCATGTCTCTCTGTATCATTTAAATTTTATGATTCTTCAGAGTTCGTATTTTTTTTCGTAAATGCCAATTAACTTTCCAAGTGTCATGTGCAGTATCACTGGCAAATACCTACTGTATAATTGTACAAACACAGTGTTGCAACACTAGAGTCAGTTCCTTATATGATTTTTATGGGCATAGCATTCTACTTATGATTCTGATTATCTGTGTGCTTGAGTTTCTTGGAATTGCTCCAAGAAATCCTTGCCACAGTTTTCAACCCTGTCCTAAGTTTCAGAACCAGAATTTGGACCTGATCAGTGAATAAAACTGTAAAGAGCTGTTTGATAATAGCAGAGAACAAAATAAACAGCTTGTGAAAGAATAAGTGATAGATGGTAAGAGCCAACTTGGGCTCCTCTACAAAAAAGTAGGTAAAAACTCTTTTAGAGCATCAATTACTAGCTGACAAATTTCTAAACTGTTACCAATTTCTCAGATCCCCTGGGATATATACATAAACACATTGCTCAGTTCGACTCTTTGAACTATGCTTATCTTCCAAGATAGGTATAGTTAGTAAGGAATAACAGAAAAAAAGTCAAATTTAGTATTGGAAATCAGCAGAGAAAATATGTCGGACATTTCAGTAGGAAAACTCACATTCATATAATATAAGCGGAACTGTTTTATGTCTATACTTATTTAATAATATTTCCTTGATCCCAAGAATCAGATGACAAACATCACAGGCAAATTTGGAATTAGCATTCAAAATATTCCTGATGATAGTACATTGAAATACATTTGCAATTTCATGTCTAACAATCCCCTATCAAGTAATTCCCAGCCAGCCTTGGCAAAAGCCCAGGATACTAGATTTTCAAATGAAAAAATAAAATAGAAAACACAGATAATTACAAAGTTGCAACTTGTCATATATTTGAAAGTCCTATTGCCATTTGTGTGCCTATATGTGAAATAGCTAAATATGTGCATGCGATGTGCAACAGTCAGATTTGATTGCTATAATAGAAACCTAAAATAACAGTGATTTAAACACAACAGACTTTTATTTCTCTTAAACCTAGTATCCAGGTATAAGCATTTTAGGCTTCAAAATACCAAGGAGCCAAAC